TTTTTTTTTTTTAGTTTTTCCGAATCCAATTATATAGTCCAGTCAAACTCATAATCTTCTTAAACTTAATTGCCCAAGCCCAACCCAATTTGTATTATCTTCTTAAGCTTAGTTGCCCAAGTCCAACCCAATTTGCTAGTAACCTTGAAGGACTATGTCAAATTTCTGAGATTTGCGAATCTGCTTTGCAATTCCTCCTCTTCAGACTCCAGTCTCCTCTACTCTGTGTTGTAGCTTACTGGCTTTGTTTCTGTTCTTCAATCGGTCAATTCCCTTCAACCTATCATTCTCGGCAACATTCGAAAGGTAGTGCCCATAGCTCTGCTTCTATTCTTTAGTTGGCTACTTGTAGCTTGCCTAAACCTGAGTTATGAGTATTTGTGAGTATCTGAATATTTGTGCTTGATGATATATTTTGAGGTGAAGCAGATCTCATTCTTTTAGCCTTATTATTTCTGATTTCATTTTCCCTCCGATTGTTCATAAGATTGTCAAAATGTGATTTTTATTGTCTACATGCCTGCGCAGCTTCTTTCTCGCATTTGCAGCGAACAATAATCGTATTGTTATCTTGAGGCTCATTCAAACTCTTAATTCGTTCTATCTTCAGTTAATTTCTCCAATGAGAAACGAGCATCGAGTTTTGTTTGATGAAGACTCCGAATACACACGGATATAGGGACGGAGGTTATTTTTTATTCTTCGCCAAAAATTCTTGTGGAGATCCTTATACCCATCGTTGACGGGGATGGGGATGGGGAGGGGGTCCCCGCCCCCGTGGGAACCCGTGCCATCCCTATCCATACCAGCTATACAAATGTCATTTCCTTGATATTAGGGGAGAAGATTGCCAAGACCATCACTAGATCTTTAATGCCTCCCTAATCAGATGTTAAAACCATTTTCCAACCCCTTCATGCCAGTGGCCAGGATGGTTGGCGTGATGCTTCCTGTCTGCATCATGGCCACAAACTTGTTGTAGTCTATGTTCCCATTTTGTAAAGTTTTATAGAGATTGGTCATCATCTCTATCCATGACAATGCTGTGTAATGTTCTACAATGAAATGACTTACATTATCCTAATCAACTTCTTGGACCATTTCTTCTAGGCAAATGTCTTGAATGCCAAACTCCTCACAAGCCTGTTGAAGCTCATCAGGAGTAATATAACCACCTCCATCCTTATCAAAGTAGTTAAAAGCAGTAAAAGATGATCTTCTCTCTTGATTTTGTTTAGGTGCAATGACTTACATTGATCTGGTTTTTTGGGTTTAGTTTCTTTCTCCTTTGGTATAGCCTCTGGTTTTGGTATTATCACAGGTTTTGAAGGTTTATGTTGAACTAGCAATGGTGATTTAGGTTCTTTAGATGCCGACTCATTGTTAGTCTCTCAATTAGCATTAGAAACGGTATCTTTCGGTGCTAATCAAGACCACCACACTACTGTGGAAATCGTTTGGAAGATCCCATTTTTGGAAATGCTTTGTCCTACATAAGTGTTAGCCATGGAATCAAACGTCTAGCTTACACCTGTAGACACCTTCACAACACTTTGACCATCAATTTCCAACCCTAATAAATCTAATCTTCCCAATCAAACTCCTAAACTCAACTCCCTATATCATTCTCTAGATTTTGATTCTTGCATAAACATCAAATGAAAACCAAAATTCGTAGAGATTATAACTAAAGGATAATACTAATGAAAGATGGAAACTACTCAAACAAATGCAACAAAAGGAATCCTATAGGTAAACATGCTTCTTGATTTAGTAAAACCAGGTAAAAGGCATACAAAATCCAAAAAAGAAAAAACCTTAGATCTCAGAGGCAACAAATAAAAGCCTGAGATTGCAAAAGAACATAGAAAGTCCTCCAAAGAAATAAACCAAAGATAAAAAGAAATGACCAATTCAGCAAAATCCTACAAAAGAGAAAAAGTAGCCAAAAGTATAAAAAGATGAAAAGGTAAGATCCTATGGGTTATGGGTTATAGGTTCTGGATTCTGGGTTCTGAAGGAAAGGAGGAATAAGAAAAGGTAGTGACATAGTTGTGGGGTGACCATCTTTGTGTGTTGAAGCCGTGGGCTTTGATCATATCTAATTAAACATATTTTATCTTATGTTTAGACATGCTAAGTGCGTTTAAGACATAACAAAAAACGCGTATGAATATAATCATAGTCTGAAGTTTGGTCTTTGGCTAGAACTAGATTTTTCAGCCCCTGGTATCTCCACGGTATTTGTATTTAGCAAAGAAGTTAATACTGTACTGTACTAGTCGGTAGCCGATCGGTACATATCGGTTTTCACATTAAATCGAAATGGTACATGGTTCAATTTCATTTTGGTCAAATTGGGTGTATCGACCGGTATTTCAGCATACCGACCGATACATAAAAATTGCCCGGTACAATTCAATTCAAATTTAAAAAAGGTAAATTCCATTTTTGGTCCTCAATTTTAATATTTTACATAATTTTCATCATTTAACTTTTTTATGTACTTTTTTAGTCCATTCTTCTTCTTTTTTTTCGTCTCTCTATTAATTACTCCATTAAGTTTGTCTAAATACACATATTTTTAATCTCTTAATTTAAAATGGATGGACGAAAAATATGTATATATCAGAAGTTAAAGGACTAAAAATGATCGTTTTAAATTTGTTTCAATTTATAAGGATATAATGATTTTAAACATTAGTAT